TATATATATATCCTTCGAATAGAATTTCCAGTTTCACAGTTCAAATTGTATCAAAATGTAAAATAAAAATTATTAAATGAGTAAAAACAGCTTTGACATTAAGAGCTTTATCCTATCTTATGCTTTATGTTGTTGTCTGGACTGAATATTACAGAACAAAGTAGGTCGGCTAATTTGTCAACAAAAACAGACAGATTGTTAGCAACTAATACGTCACAAGAAACTAACGACTTATTGGTTTAAATAAAAAAAATTTAATTTCTTTTAAATATAGTGTTGAGTTTTGATCTTACAAATAAAAAAAAAAGTACCGAAAGAGTTTTCTTATGAGGTTTAAGAGGACTCAATTTTAAATTAATTGGTTGAATGCTGCTTTCTTGTACCAGAAATTAGTAAAAATAAAAAAAGTCCCAAGAAAATGGCTGTGTTGGTTTTACGAAATGGGCCTCTAGGACGGTCTAAAGCCCAATAAATCAGGTCCTGCACGTTTATGGATCGGATTCTACCGGGTGCACCGACTTGCCCGTATAACTTAAGCAACCTTATGAATGTACCCGACACACTCCCATATAAATATCACTTCTTCCCTCTCATAACTTTTCTCTTTTCCCATCCAATTTTCCAGTACTCAGATTTTCCAATTTTCCTGTACCATGATTTTCCTCGATTCTACTTCTTTAAAATCGAATTCATTGCCAATACTTTCTCTCTAACCCTATTCAGAGTGTTTCGGTTTCGTGGGTTTAGCTTAAATCATCGGTCAATGGAAGCTTTCCGGGTCTTTACATGAACCAAGTTCTCGAATTCGGAGTAAGGAGACGAGGATTCTTCAAAACCTCAGCTTGGGAGGTTCTTTTATTGATTTCCTTTTCTGGGTTTTGCTTTAGTTATCTATTAATGGAAGCTTTGAGGGTCTGTTCATAAATCAAGGTAATTCGCAGAGGAAAGAGAGGATATGTCACACTCCAACTTTGAAGGTAAAGTTCTCTTCTTTTATTTAAATATGGTTCCTCTTTTTTTTGGAAGGTGAATTTCTGAAGCTTCAGATGTTATTGAGCAGATGACGATGATGATGAGGAGTACGAAGAGGAAGATGGAGGGGGTAATCGGCTTTTGGGATTTATGTTTGGGAACGTTGATAACTCTGGTGATCTCGACGTTGATTACCTTGATGAGGTAAATTTTTTTCAATTCTTTGCTGTGTATCTCCATAAACATGCATTAACTAGTGAAGGTCTGTATTTTACATTATGTGTGCTCCCATCTCCCACTCTTCTGATTCCACAAATGCATAGTGCATTGCTACTGCCTCCTGTTGAAAGGGTTATTTCCTCGCTGGGAATTATCCATTGCTCTATTGGTTGATATAAAAGGTAGAACAGCACTATAAGAACAAATTGACTAACAAATGGCGTTTCTTTTTGAGTTGATGCTGGTTATTGGCATATATTGGAGGGAACACAAATGTCAATGTAATCACTCATATCTACCTTTCCCATTTTCACCTCTTTTTTGACTGATAGTAACATGTGAAACTGGCAGCTGGTCATGGGTGGTTGAGGGGAGTGGAGGTTCTATGTTTGGAGTCTTATGGCATACTATAACTTTGAGAGACATGCCTGAGTGGGATAATGGAGGCTAATGATGTTCTGATGATGGTATGAAAAGAAGAAAGGGATGTTGTTGTTGGAAATTCTAGGCTGCTGTAAGATTATGGTTTTGATTTATACTTGAAAAAGTAAGGTTTTGGTGAGATAATTGGAGTTAATTAATCAAAATTCATGGAAAATATGAAGAGGGACCATCGTTTTAAAGGTTTGAGAAAAGCATTTGTGTCATGCCCCAGGAAGGTAGAGAGCATTTTATCTCACCTTTTTTTTTTCTTCTTTTTTTTGCTATCCATAGCAAACAGAGAAGGCAACTGAAGAAACTTAATAACTAGGGATCTATTGGACCAACCAATGTAATGACTATGCAGTACCATTTTATTTGAACCAAAGGCACTTTTTTAGTTATTGAAGAACTTGCAACTTTAGCCTTTTATGTTCATGTTTCATATCAAAACCTGTTGGTTTGATGCTCTTGATTACCTGATGCTGCCTTTCCCTATTAACTTCTATTTTGGCATGTCATTCTGATTATTTCATAGTCATCCAGTTATTTTTTGTTGCATTGCTGGTAAGAATTACTTTGTTTGTCCCAGGATGCAAAGGAGCATCTTTCTGCATTGGCTGAGAAGCTGGGTCCATCTCTTACTGATATGGATGTAAGGAAATTATTCTCTCTTTGGTCTTCACTTGTTTCGATTTTTATGAAGAATTTAAAGACAGTAGTTGGACTTGCTAACGGTTTCAATTTTTTCAGTTGTTGGTAAAATCACCACATACTCCAGCTGATGCTGCTGACCAAGGTGATGTCTGCCAGGAAAATCTATCTCATGCAGTTTTTGATGTTCTGTTAGTATCTTTGTTTCTTCAAATTGTTTCTTCAACTAATTGACTATACTTTTGTTTTATATAAATAAAATTTTTGTAAGAAGTATCAGAGGTAATTCATTATTAAGTTTAAGTGGTGGATTAAGACTAAGAGGCAGTGTTTGGTAAATACAAAAGATTGCTTCTTGATTCTAAGAGAGCTAAACTTATGGTGTTACAGGATGTAATGATCTTCTCTTCTTTCTTTCTTCCTTTTTTTTTTTTAATCCTATCTTGATTTGTGAAACAGCAATTCCACTGATAGACTTACTCTAGTTTGTGTATTAGAGCTTAAGTAATAAATGGAGCGGAATGTTTCTCTTTAACATATCAATAGGATGGAAGCTAATTGCTTATTACTGTAAGAAATCTATTGTGAAACGTTGTAATAGGTTCTGCTTAAAGCTTTACAGATATGTAGGTTATTATCTACTCATAACATGCATGTCCTGAAAGAACAAGTGCGGATTTTAAATAGGATAAAACTTCCTTTTGTATGACAGTGCTTGGACCCAAATATTTAAGTCACAGGCTAAGTGACTAGCATAGAAAGTAAGATTTAGCTATAAACTGTACATTCTTTGGTAGAAGAAGTGGTTCTAGACCAAGTTTGTAATGGAAAGATTTGACTACTTTGTCTTTTTTCATTGTTTGGACCTTGGAATGGTAGCAGAGTGGCTTGCATTATGTTCTTTCATGCATAACCAAAACTGTACTTAACCAAGCAAGCATGTGATGTGACCTGTTTTATTAAAGTGGCATATGAAAAACCATTAGGGAAAATATCTTAGCTTATTTGTTGAGTATAGTATAGTGTTCTAATTTTCCAGAGCTTTGGTTCTCTTTCTTATTTTCAAGTGAAATGAAGTGTTCTTATATTTTCTTTAGTTTCTATGTCCCTTTCTGTATGTGTTTGGTGCTGTCTGGATGCTGTTTCCTTGTCTTTAAACTTCTAAATAGATAAATACCTAGGAGGTTCCATGTATTTGCTCTAACTAACCCTATTGCTGAACTTTAGTCTATCTCACAACTATATCTAGTGAACTGTTTTTCTGTCTCTACTCTAATTCTTTGATTATGTGCTAAATGGGGGTTTTCTGTTGGTAGATTATGATGAGAAGGCAGAAGATGCAGTTGATTATGAAGATATTGATGAGCAGTATGAGGGGCCAGAGATTCAAGCCTCTGGTGAAGAGGACCATTTACTGCCAAAGAAGGAATATTTTTCGGCTAATGTTTCTCTGGCTATTTTGGAGCCTAAGGCTTCTGTTTTTGATGATGAGAATTATGATGAGGATGAGCAAGAAGAAAAGGAACAAGAGGTTTTAGATGCAGAAAATCAAATTCAAACTACCTTTTCAGGTTGAATATTGAACCTTCATAACTGTTTTCTCAATATTTATTATTGCTTTTGGTTTAGTGTCCCATGTCTGGTGTATTCGATAGGTGATTTTCTTTTAGTTATCTGGCTGCGTGAATGCCTCTAAAATGGCTCTTTAGAACTTTGTGTCCATGTCATCTTGATAAGAAAAGGATTACTGATTTAAATTATTTTTGTTTCATGTGCTAACTGTTTGTTCCAGGTGGAATGAAAATTTTAATTTATACCAAAATGTAGTTGTTATCATTAAATATTAATTAAAACTCTTATAATTTCTTGGTAATGATTGTTTTGATCACATGCACAAATTGTTCTAAGTTGGCTTGTTCAAATTCATAAATCTGTTGTTGGCACCTATAAGGTGTATTTCATTGGTTGAGTTAAGAAAAAAACAAAAAAAAGAAGTGTAGTGTTGTCTCAAACATCTCAAAGAACTCTGGATATTGGCCAATGAGGAATGACTTCTAATTGGCCGACTTCAGGATAATTCATCTTTGGCTTTCTAGGGGCAGTTGGAGAACATTTTGACCTTGATGCTTTGTCTTCCCTATGCTTCCTATGGCTATAATATTAGTCAGATTTGAATCATGAAATTAGGCTGCCTTCAGGTTGGTTTTTCTTTTTCATGGAATTCCTGCAATGGTTTTCTTAAATTCTTTTTCATCTTTGGTTCGCTTTCCCTGGTCGGCGAACTTATGTGAAGGTTGATCCATTATATGAGTGACATATAGAATGATGAATGTATACTTTTGCTCTGTCTGGAGTCTTAAGTTATCCTGAATTCTATAAGATCATGATACCTTTATGTCTTTCTAAGTGATGTTTGACTAACTTGCGTATTTCTCCTCTTAGGCAAGCAGGTTGATTGTGTTGTTGCAACCTCAGAAGCGGAAAAATATCCTGAGGATGACATAAGATATGGCTCGTCAGATACTGAGAATCTGGCAGCTGCTATGGAAGAATTTCAGGTTAGTTTCATCATTAGCACTTTTTGCCTGACATTTTATAGTCTCTTAAGACTTTCCAGGGTGCATGATATGATTTTTTGAAGTGTAAGAATTGTTTTGTGAAAACTGTAATAAACCTAGCTGTATCTAGAAAGGTATATGGATGAATGCTGTAGATTTCATGCATTTGAAATGGTTTACAACAGCAGCCCTTAGGATTATTTGTTTTTTCGTCGGTGGATTTTGTGCATTGAAGTTGCATATCTTTATTCTCCTCTGTTAATTGCTCTTTTTTTTTTTTTTAATTTTTAAATAATGATCCAACAGGAAGTAACTGATCTTTTGGAAGAGCAAATGGATGGTAAAGGTTCTACTCCTCTGCCTGTTTTATGTGTAGAAGATGGGATGGTGATCTTAAGGTTTTCAGAAATCTTTGGCATTCATGAGCCCATGAAGAAAAGGGAGAAAAGAGATCGTGGGTATTTTGCTCATAGAGGTATTCATTCTAAAAAAGCACTCATCTTGAACTTGTTTTTCAAGGCTCTAGAATTGTTTAAATCTCTAATAGAAGTGGTATGAGAGAAATCCTTTTAAGAGTGTGCCAGTGCCATTCATTCCCGCGCCTACCTTTTAGTATTTTTGTTTTGTATTTGCTTCTTTTTACATTTGTAAGTTCTATTTTTTTATACAGAGAAGTACAAATATATGGATGCTTCTGATCTTGTTGAAGAGGATGAAGAGGCCTTTCTGAAAGGTTCTGGTCAAGATGTTTCATTTATCAGACAGGAACTTGCAATTCAACAGGATAGCTTTGAAACAATTGATGACCATACTGTGCAAATAAATCCAGTGGTGTCTGCACAACATGAAGAACAAAGAAAGGACATTTATTCTAGTCCAGAACCAATGAAAGAGGGAGCGTCAATAAATTTTTCTGCAGGATGGTTGTCACCCTTGCATCAGAAACTTTTCCCCCTTGACCAGCAGGACTGGGAAGAACGAATTCTCTGGGACAATTCTCCTGAAAGGAGTGATAATCATTTGGGGAGTCCTGAAAGCTCTGTCTCTGACATGGAAGCTTCAGTTTTAAAAGAAAAAGATCTAGAGTCCCGGTTACAAAATCCACTTGCTGGGCAGTCAATGAAACCTGATGAGAGGGATCATGGTTTTTCTCTTCATAGCTCTCCAGTTTTATTGGAATCTTTTGACTCAAGAGATTCTTCAGGATCAATGGCCCTTCCATTCTCAAAAAGCAAATTTCATCCCCAACTCTTGAGGTTGGAATCTCAGTTGGAAGTGGATGTGTCAAGTAATGTAGATGGTAATAGAGAGAGCGCTGCTGTGGAGCCTCATAAAAGTGATGTTGTGAGGCGTTTTAACAAACTTACTTTGCAAAACAGAGCTATGATAGAAGGGTCATGGTTAGACAATATAATTTGGGAACCACATAGTGTTATTGCAAAGCCTAAGCTAATTCTTGATCTTCAGGACGAGCAGATGCTTTTTGAAATTTTGGATAACAAGGATAATAAGCATCTTGATCTCCATGCAGGGGCCATGATTATTACTCGATCTACAAAGCCGAGCACTGTTGGTCCTTCTGAGCTTCCAGGTCAAAAATATCAATCTGGTTGGCAATTTAATATTGCTAATGACAAATTTTATAAGAACCGTAAAATTTCTCAACAATTGCAACCAAATTCCAACAAACGTGTAGCTCATGGTATTAGAGTTCATCATTCAGCTCCTGCACTTAAGCTGCAGACAATGAAACTGAAGTTGAGCAAGTATGGATGGTTTAATAGTTCTTATTATTATTCTTTTCAATTGCATGTGTTAAAAGCTACTTTCTCAACCAGCCTGTTTAATCATTTTGTTTGAGAGATTTGTTTCTATTCAGTAAACTGAACCAAAGGCCTTCTATTTGTTTGTAGTTGCTGTTTCAAGTTCTTTAAAAATTAGTCTGTTATATGGTGGGATTTTCTAGTTCTAGAGGATTGCATAGTTACCACAGAGCTGTTGATCACTTGTAAAATTTGACCTGTTGCTTTTCATCCAATAATTTGCAGTAAAGATATTGCCAATTTTCACCGTCCAAAAGCTCTGTGGTATCCACATGACATTGAGGTGGCTGTCAAAGAACAAGGAAAGCTGCCTACGCAAGGACCCATGAAAGTTATATTGAAGAGCTTGGGAGGGAAAGGAAGTAAACTAAATGTGGATGCTGAGGAAACTGTCTCCTCTGTAAAAGTGAAGGCTTCTAAAAAGCTAGGTCATTCTTCTGCTCATGTTTTTAACCTTTAACTCTTATAGAACATTCTTTGCATGTTAGGTAATTATTTGGTGAATGTTTATCCTTTCTTGATTTCTGAAATTGTAAGAGCCCATCTTTGAGTCATTTTTCTTGTAGATTTCAAGCCGACAGAACCAGTAAAAATAGTTTATTTAGGGAAGGAGCTTGAAGATGATAAGTCTCTTGCTGCCCAGAATGTTCAACCAAATTCCTTACTTCATCTTGTCCGTGCAAGAATACATCCATTGCCAAGAGCACAAAAGCTTCCAGGTGAAAATAAGGCTTTACGGCCTCCTGGGGCATTTAAAAAGAAATCTGATCTTTCTGTGAAAGATGGTCATGTCTTTCTAATGGAGTAAGTGCCTCATAAGACTTTATTTTTCTTTCACATCTGAATTTCTTTCTTTTTCTCTATGTGGAGTTAAAGTTAATAGTTTCCAGTGTAGCTATTGCTCCGTCATTCTTTGGAGTATGACTCCTGAGCTTTAGTTTGGTCCCTATTGTATTCAGACATAAAGTTGATTTATATTTTTGGAAAACAATATTTAAGCTGGAACTTTTGTTTTTGATGAGTCTATTCTGATCTTCTTGCCTAATTTTAATTCCTAGGTTACAAACTTTCTTTTACTTGCAATTAATTCAGTTACAGTCATTATCTGGCCTTTTGTTTTTGGTTGGATTTCAAACCTGCAAGGTTAGAAGGTTCTTATTTGCATTTTGTTTTATTGGTGGAGATGAGAAATATTGGACAGCTTGCTCATTTCCTTGTAATTGTGTGTAATGTCTTGTTGACTGAGCAGGGAATTGCACTTGCCATGGTAGCAACACATGTTTTAGTGAAGAGTATTCTCTGGGTTTTGTAAATGTCACCTTGCCTCAAATTATGCAATCTTGAATTTTGTTGATGCTTGTCATTCCTTTCATGGCCACCTTTTTGGTTACCATGTGTTGGATATTTTCATATTTCCAAGAACAACTCATCCTCTTCCTTCTTTGCAGGTACTGTGAAGAGAGACCTTTACTTTTGAGCAATGCTGGAATGGGTGCTAACTTGTGCACTTATTATCAAAAGATGGGTCCAGGTGATCAAAGTGGTGGGTTGTTAAACACTGGGAATAGCAGCTTGGGGAATGTTCTGACTCTGGAGTCATCTGATAAATCCCCTTTTCTTGGAGAAATTAAAGCTGGTTGCAGCCAGTCATCTCTTGAGACAAACATGTATAAGGCACCTATATTTCAGCATAAGGTCCCAGCAACTGACTTTCTGTTGATTCGATCTGCAAAGGGAAAGCTTTCTATAAGACGTATTGACAAGATTGCTGTTGTTGGACAACAGGTTTGTCCCAGTTATAGTCTTTTCTATATTATTCTTTGCAAAATGATATCTTAGACTTAGATTCATTTTATGAATTTCCATGATTGAGTCTAGTTCTTAATTGCTCATGATTGATGCAATTTTTGCTGATAATGCTATCTTGGTTTATGGCTGGACGGCCTGCCTGGGCATATATATGTCTGTAAGGAATAGTGGCCATCAGTCTCGACTAAAAAAAATTTGCAGTCCGTAATCCCAGAACTACTTAGTTTCAATAAAAACCTTCTACGTCTATTTCAAAACTATGTAATCTTAACAAATATCCTTCAACCCTCATCCCAAAACAACTACCAGGGCATTGGAGACTGCAAATTTTTTTCAGTCATGACAGCACTTTACAACTGTGAATTTGGACCCACCCACCATAAAAAAGGAGAAAAATCTTGCCTCTTTTTTTTTTTTTTACTACCATAAATTTCTTCCACTAGATAAGTACTTCTCTGTCAGTCTAGGGAATGCCATTTAATAATTGAGCCCGGATACCCTTTTGGGATGCAGGTTCAATTGCTTAGGATAGCCTCAGCTTGCCTTTCCTTTCCTAATGAAGTGATCTTTGTAGTTTTTAAATTAAATTGGTTTTGACCGATCTTGGGATATTGGTGAGCTCCTTGAGATTTATCACCTCAAAATTTTAATACAGCTTCAAGTCCTCCTACCCACAACAAAAAGGAAAATTTCTCACATTGTTGGTCTGATTTTTCTTATAATTTTTTTAAACAGAAATTATCAGTTTTGTACTTGATAGAAAAGACTATTTAATGTTTTTTTTTTGAACACCCAAAGGCATCCTATGAGAATTTTATTTGTGGCTGAAAATGTTGTTTGTGCTTGTAATCATTTAGTGGGGTATTTTTACAAGGGAGACCTGTGTTTCTGGAAAAATTCAGTGTGGTGTATCTTTATGATATTAAAATCTAGATTGTTGAGTTAATTTTCCTTTGCAGGAGCCACTGATGGAAGTGATTTCCCCTGGATCAAAGAATCTTCAGAATTATATCATGAACAGAATGTTGGTTTATGTGTACCGTGAGTTTTCAGCAGCACAGAAACGTGGCTTACCTCCCAACATTAGTGCAGAGGATTTGTCAGCATGTTTTCCTAACCTTTCGGAAGCAATTATTCGAAAGAAGATGAAGGATTGTGCCTTTTTGCGGGTAATCTTGCTTTGCAATCTCTTTTTATATTTCTATGTAATAATCTCATCATGTTGCTTACTCTTGTACCCCCTGCTTGTGTTTTACTGTCATATTCGTGCTTTATGCCTTCTTCTGAATAGTCCTAATCTTCGCTACTCATCATATACTTTATCTGCGTATGCAAAATAGAGAGATAATAGTGGACAGACTTGGTCAATGAGACGTGATTTCCAAATTCCTTCTGAAGGTGTTCTGCGAAAGTTGGTGTCTCCAGAACATGTGAGTTTCAAATTCATTTCTTTTCATTTGATGGTATTCTGTTTATGCAGAGAATTTTGGATCTTGTGCAAGTCAGAAAATGTTTAAAGGGGATTCATCTTTACTTAAGAACCTATCACTTTACCCTTTGGCTTCAAATGACTTTACTGTAATCTGTCCAAGCTATTTACTGGCTGTTGTCTAAGTCTTGTATTTTCATAATGGGATGACTGAATGATTCAATTTGGATTTGACTAATTTGAGCTAGTAACTGTCACCTGTGAGGGGGATGTGGAGGTGCTATGGATGTGCTTAAAAGGTGCTTCTGTTGGGTTTAATCTGCTGTTCTGGAAGGAAAGACATAGTAGTGTATGCATAATGGGAAAAAAAAACAGAAGAAAAAGATTTTTTTTTTTTTGAAAAAAAAGGGCCTTCAAAGCAGATGAGTAGTTTATTTAGGGAAAAAAAGACAGTATTTGCTTAATTGTAGATTTGGCTCTTTATTTGGAGTGTTACCCTCCATCTCTATTGGCAACACAATTTAAGGTTTTGGCTCTTCCCTTTTTACCTATGCCTTATCACCTTTTTATATGGAATCCCTAGAGGCAGATGTGTCTGTTTGGCTGTTTGCATTTCTTATTAAGATGAGGTGGTAAGAAAACTACTTTAAAAGTTCCTCTAATGTATCAAATTGTCAATTGTTGTTGCAAGTCTGTTTGATTGAATCTAATGTATAACAAGTATGATAGTTGGCTATATTTTCAACATATAAAAGCTTATATTTTCAAAACCTTCTAAAGGAAAAGAAATATGTTTTATAGCTGGCTATCATTGTTAACCTGAAGGTTGCTTTGCTGTCAAATTGCTGTCTGATTATTTTGAAGGGTGCTCTTGAAGTTGGATAGGGTTGGAACAATCAATTTAGTAATTGCTTGCCATACTTTTATCCTGTTTGATTTTCTTTTCTAATGGTTTACAGGTTTGTGCCTATGAAAGTATGCAAGCTGCTATGTACCGGCTCAAACATTTAGGAATTACAAGATTGACACATCCTACGAGTGTTTCATCTGCAATGAGTCAGCTCCCTGATGAAGCTATAGCATTGGCTGCTGCATCGCACATTGAGAGGGAACTGCAGATAACTCCATGGAACCTCAGTAGCAATTTTGTAGCGTGTACAAATCTGGTAATATTAGTCTTTCTCAATTTTGTTTTGACTTATACTATTTGATTTATTTCACTTTTGACCTTTATTTATTTTAATCAATCATTCATATTTTTCTCTCCAATTCTTTTTCAGGACAAAGAAAATATTGAGCGCCTGGAAATAACTGGTGTTGGTGATCCATCAGGTCGGGGCTTAGGATTTAGCTATGTCCGCGCTGCTCCTAAAGCACCATTGTCAAGCACAATCACAAAGAAAAAAACAGCAGCTGCTCGTGGGGGTTCTACTGTCACTGGGACAGATGCTGATCTTCGTAGACTGAGCATGGAGGCTGCACGCGAGGTTTCTTGTTTTCTTGCTAATAATTGAGTTATTACAATTGGTTTGATGGTAATTTTTCTGTGATATAGTATACGTTAGAACTTTATAATGAGAAGAAGAGTTTTCTCAATGAAGGATGAGGGACGTGAAGGAATTTTGTTATGAGGCTTGTCTCACAAGGAAAATAAGCCTTAGAAAGAAATTACAAGTCAAACACGCAAGAATCTCATTTATTCCTTAAGTGCCTGTTTTGAACTTTATTGAAGCTTAACTTGGACTTAAAGCACCAATGCTTTGAAAATAAAAATTCTAATTGAAGGCTGGTCCACCATATTGATCTTCAAAATCAGGCCATTTGTGCACCAAAAATTGTTGCATGAAAATCCTAAAGAGAATTTGTTGTAAAAGTAGCAATTGTTAGAATGCTGGCTCTTGCAAAATCAACTGTATGAAATTTACCATGCATAAGATTTTCAGGAGACATGTATATAGTATTCTCAGGTTATAGCTTGTATAACTTAGTAAGCTACCTGGTTTTAATCAACACTAATTTATCCAAACTTAGCTGCTCATGAATAGTTCTTACTCATATATGGAGTGATTGAATGAAACAAAATTTCCAGTTTTTAGAGGCAAAATTAGGTGCTGGGGTTACCCTTGCTTTCATGTGGGCCTTTAGAACATTTGGCATGTTAATGTCTTTCGTGGTTGTAGTCTCTTAACCTAATCCCATGTCCAGGTTCTTCTGAAGTTCAATGTCCCTGATGATGTGATAGCAAAACAAACTAGATGGCATCGCATTGCCATGATACGGAAGCTCTCAAGTGAGCAAGCTGCATCAGGTATCAAAGTTGATCCAACAACTATCAGCAAGTATGCACGTGGACAGCGAATGTCTTTTATGCAGTTGCAGCAACAAACCAGGGAGAAGTGTCAGGAGATATGGGATCGACAAGTTCAATCTCTCTCAGCTGTTGATGAAGAAAATGAAAGTGATTCTGAAGCAAATAGTGATCTGGATTCCTTTGCTGGAGACCTAGAAAATTTGCTTGATGCAGAGGAATTTGGAGATGGGGAAGAGGGTAACAATGAATCCAAGTATGACACAGCAGATGGTGTTAAGGGGCTTAAAATGAGGAGGCGGCCATCAAGAGCTCAGGCAGAAGAGGAAATTGAAGATGAAGCTGCTGAAGCTGCTGAATTATGTCGTTTGCTCATGGATGGTATGAAATATCTTGTTTTCCACCAACAGACTGCCTAAATGTTAGACTTGATGTTTGTGCATGAGTATATGGGAAAATCCTGAGTCAGTTAAGAGTGAAATATATGCTAACAATCATAAAAGATTTTCTTATGTTCTATGGAAGTAAATGCTTGAAAAAAGTGTTGTGTGTTTTTCCATATATGCAACACAGCAATAGGAAATGTTAGCTTCAAACATTTCTGTTGCTGGATAAATAACCTGGAATTATGAAATTTGACTTCTGCACTTCTTGTAGAAACTTATCTTCTAGTGAATATTAACAAGAACCTATGGTATTTGTTAATTCATTTGAACATATCAAATCAATTTTGCCTTTGGATAACTTTATTTTATTGATAAACAAAAAGAAGAACTAAAATGGTTATGTAACAACTGCTTAACTAAAGTGTTTATCCATGTGGTTGACTATGATATATTTATTTTTTATTTTTTATTTTTTGCAGATGATGAGGCTGAGCAAAAGAAGAAGAAGAAAAATAAAGCAATTACAGGGGATGCTGGATTTGCCCTTGGCTCTCAATCAAGTACTGGTGCTGAGATGTTGAGACGGGTTAAGAAAGCAAATCCAACACCCAAGCAAGGCATCAGTGCTTCTCAGCCTAACGGGTCCTATGTTATGAAGGAAAGCAGTATTAGAGATTTGGCTGGTGTAAGAATAGTCATCTTAATTATGTGGTTTTGTGGCTAAGCTATTTGGGTATAATCCTTTTAGAAGTTACATTGTGTCTTTATATGACTTGTCCTTGTTGTCAAACGTGCTTGAGGTTATACATTTTTGTTTTTAAATTGTAACTTCATTATGTTTTGATGGCAGGTGGAAAGTGCGATATTGAAAAGGAGCTCAACTGGAAAGAGTAAAGGAATGAAAAAGAATGGTACACCAAGCACTGTTCAACCAACAAAAGTGAAAATATTGGGAGATAATCCAAAGGCAAGAGAGCTCATTTATTTCTTATCTTTTTGACAGTGCATATACAGGTCCTACTAATGTTGCACGCATTTTTTCTTCCATTCATATTTGGGTCAGAAGAGTTCCTTAGAATCTCTCTGTTCGTTTTAAACAATATAGAAATATGTTGGTGGCTCAGTATGTACAGGTTCCTTGCCGAATCATTTTCCTATAACTAGGTCCCTAGTCAAACTACTTTTCTTCCTTTTCTTGATATTTTGCCACTTCTATTTATTTGCATCATTTTCTGATCATTAGGGCCACTCCCACTATAAATGGAGGGTTGTGTCAGATTTGAGGATGAGTGAGTGTTTTATTTAGAGGTTTATTGGCTTGGTTGTACGGACATGACATCTACAGAAATCCTTGTTCGTTATGGTTTCAAGGTTTCAAAGGATTATCTTAGTGAAGTCTTGTTTCTTATATTTGGTCTACGTAATGAATCTCCATGGTTGGCACTGTATTATCTTGCAGCATTTTAGTCCTTTCCTAATCTGCTGGTATGCAAAATTTAACAGTCCGTGTTGTGCATTTTTTTTTTCTTAAAAGATAATCAATTCAGCATTTTCTTTCGCTTCCCAAAGCTACTTTCATTTACTCTCCTGTTATAACCAGGTCCAGATAAAGGAGAAGAAATCTTCAAGGGAGAGTTTTGTCTGTGGTGCTTGTGGTCAGGTGCGCAACTTCTCTTGCTCTAGTTAGCATGTAATTATCTTGATGTTTCTGAACTTTGTGGTCAATTTTAATCCTTGCTGTTTTGATCAATCAGCTTGGACACATGAGGACCAACAAAAACTGCCCCAAGTATGGAGAAGATCCAGAATCACATGTTGAAGCTACAGAGGAAAAGGCTTCTGGAAAATCCAATCCATTGGATCCTTCTGGTCAGTCCCAGCTGAAAACTATGAAAAAGAAGCTCATAGCTAAAAGTGCAACAAAGATTTCTGTGGTAGAAGCTCCTGAGGGTGAAAAGTCTGATTCAAATATAAAAGTACACCAACTGAAGTTCAAATGTTCTAATGATAAACCCTCTGATAAACTTTCTTTTGGAGTCACACAGAGTTCTGACCAGCCTGTCACCTCTGATTTTGAAACTGGGAGTAAGTCCATCTCCAAGGTTAGTAGAATAAAAATTTCCAATAGGATGAAGCCTGATGAAATGCAGGTTGAGTCTAGTAAGCGCTCTATTATTATGCGGCCTCCAATGGATATTGATAGAGGCCAAGCTGAATCCAGTAAGGCTTCTGTTATTATACGGCCACCGGCAAGTATTGAGAGGGACCAATTTGAACCTCATAGGCACTCCATTGTGATACGTCCACCAACCGATAAAGATAGAGAAAGGTCTCAGAAGAAAATTATAATCAAGCGTCCAAAAGAAATTGTTGATTTGGATACGTTTAGTCATGATGGAACCCCTCATCCTGAGTACAGAAAAACTAAGAAAATAGTTGAATTGTCAAGTTTTCAAACACATGGGAAGCATGATAGTTTGCGACTGAATGAGGAGTCAGTAAAGCGGCAAGCGAGAGAGGAGAGACGATGGTGGGAGGAGGAAGAGAAAAGGAGAAATGCAGAGAGAGTAAGAGAAGAAAGGGCGAGGAGGATCTTTGAGGAAGAAAGGAGAATGCAAGAAGAAGAGCAAGAAAGATTTGCAGAGATCAAAAGATACGAAGAATCTATTCGAAGGGAGAGGGAGGAAGAGGAGCGCCAAAGGGCAAAGAAAAAGAAAAAGAAGAAGAAAAAGGTGGAAATAAAAGATGACTATGCTGAGGACTACATGTCAAGAAGAAATGACAGGAGGATGCCAGAAAGAGATCGAATTGCAAAACGACAGTATGGTGCTGATTATGGGCCTCCAACAAAGCGACGCAGAGGTGGAGAGGTAATACTTTCTCCCATTCAATTTTCCTTTTGGCATTATTCATCTCCATTTACGACTAATGATGCATCCTCCCAATTGGACAAGGGATTCTTCATAAAAATGAGTTTTTTGATTCATAATGATGAATACCAAGTATTAACTTTCATTAGATTCTATCTTTCTGATTCATTATTCAAAAGAAAAGCATGATGTTGGTTCTGTAGTTAACAAGTGGGCTTCATATTGCGATTTTCATACCATTATATAGTGGCTAATAACTCTATGTTCCGTTTAGTGCAATAATTTCAAAGGAGTAGTTAAATTACTAGAACTGTTAAGGATTTTGAAGAGCTGTATAGCCAAGGAATTGAATCTGTGTTATTCCTTTCTCTTTGTTTTCTCTCTCCTTCTTTGAAGGCTTGATTAGTTTGCCTAATGCTTGGATGGAAAAGCATTTGCATCTGACAGGCATGATTATGCCTGTAGGGCAAGTTTTATTTATTATTATTATTATTTTTTTTTTTTTGAGGAAAAAGACCTGTAGAGCAAGATTGACTTAGCATCAACATATACTGGAAAGAACAGATTGTGGATTAAGATCAGATTGTGAATTATAGGCTCTGTTAGACTTGCCCTGCTTAAATATAGCCCATGATTCCAACAAGATCAATCCTGCTGCAGTTCCTTTTTTCTTTTTTTCATTTTTTTTTTCACTACCTGTTGGTTTCTTTTTGAAATTTTAACAACTTGCACTCATTCTGCTCTGTGAGCTCCTGAGAGATGAGGTTTTGGGGAAAAAAGGGGCAACTTAAAGGAGAGATGATTTAAAATTATAGAAACAATATAGAAATAATAAGAAAGCTATAATATTCTTTCCTATGTTAGTGCAATTCTTCATTTTTAGCTGGTTA